ATCTGTCATCCGTAAAATCAGGGTCAGAAGTTTGAATAAAAATAACGATAACTCAGAGAAACAAACCAGTGACAATCCGCTTACCATCTTGATCTACCATCAAAACCATGTTTCGTAGTTCATTACCTGTTGGACGTTGTCCTAATGATTTCATGACAATTCCTAACTCAGCTGTTGTAATCATACCGTCCGAATCTTTGTCAAACAGCATAAAGGCTTCTTTGAACTCTGTGAAATAATTTAACATATTTTGAATTCTATTATTCTAATATGGTTTGGTACTGTATGTCAAACTTTAAGGCTATATATCATTTTTTCTTTTAACTTCGGAATATTAAATATTAAAAGTCTTAAGTTAGTCAAACACTCGAATATCAGACTCTTTTGTTTTCTCTCCTTCACTGGTTAGGGAACTAGACTCGCGATCTGAGGGTCGTGGGTTCGAATTCCCGTCACACCAAACATGCTCGCCCTTTCAGTCGTGGGGGCGTTATGTGATGGTCAATCCCACTATTAGTTGGTAAAAGAGTAGTCCAGGAGTTGGCGAGTGGTGATACGCTGCTAAATTAGGGACGGCTAGCGCAGATAGCCCTCGTGTAGCTATTGTGTTGTGTTGTAAATATTATTAGTGTTAGCTTCTTTCCTGACCGAGCGTGGCCACGTGATTAGCATGGTGGATGGTGGAGCAGAGGTTTCATGGTTCATGTCCGGTTACCACCAAAAAATAAAAACAAAATATTCTACATACTTTAAGGACGTGGTTGCGTTGTACGAGTGACGACGGTTAAAGTCGTGGTTGCGTTGTACGAGTGACGACGGTTAAAGTCGTGGTTGCGTTGTACGAGTGACGGTTAAATTCCACTATTAGGTTCGACAAGAGTAGCCCAAGAGTTGGCGAAGATTTACGTTAACTACTTGCCTTCCCTCTAGTTTGTTACTTCAAACTTAGAGAAAACTAGCGAAGATAGCCCTCGTTTGGCTTTAGACAGAATCTAACAAACAAAAGACAAGTTTCTTTTCTGAAAAAAAATCAGGATTCTCTCGTTTTTTCCCAAGAAAAATATAGCAGGAACGAATTATAAATGATCCAATAAATAAACTGTTCATTTAGTGCAATAATTCAGTGTGAAATTCGAAGCCTAAAACACGAACAATAAATAAATATATGTTGTTAGTGCTCGCGAGGCTCCTGATACATTAATTATAATTTTATGCCATAGAAAACAATGAATTTTTTGATTGTGACCAAATATAAAAGCTTTTCCACCACCTCTATGTATTATATATATTTTAGTTTGTTTGCGGATAGCAGAGAAAAGCAACTGAAGAGCGAACTACACTAGCTGTCCTTGATAGACTAAAGGGAAGGGAGCTGATGCACAGCCCCATAGCCAACTCCTGAATGACTGAATTCCATGTCCCCAATCAGACACGCTAACTACTGGCTTACACTCCGTTCATGCACATTTTAGAAACATCCACTCTACATATTGTTGCCCGACAATGGCAACAAATAAATTATTATTTGTGGAGCGAGAAAGCTTTTGTTTGCTTGTTTATAATTAAGCACAATGCTACACAGTGGTTATTTGTGCTCTGCCTAAAACGGCTATCGAAACCCGGTTTCTAGCGTTGTAAGTCCGCAGACATACCGCTGTGCCACTGGGGGCCGAGAAAGCTTTAGAAGACTGAATAAAACTTAACTTTTATCTCCTCCTAATGAGAGCAGTATTAAGATCGAGTCGTAAGTACTGCACGAAACAATGATTTGTTGAGTAAACAAGGATTTTACACAAAATCTTCAGTATGATTCCAAAAGTAAGTTGCTCCGTAGTTTCTATTTACATAATTTCTTACCTGTTATTTGTTCTTCTGTTAATCCGTATTCCGTCTGCAAGAAAGAGAAAAAAACTGTTCTAAACAAAAATGGATAAAAATGTTATACGTTTCTGTCAAAAAAGTAGGCTTAACTTGTGTAAACATACACGCAATATATACACACATATATATTATTACGTATCTGCTTGTTTGTTAATTTCCGGTATAAATTATTTCCGAGGAAGTTCAGCGATACAAGTCCATTCTTGATTAAAACTAGTTTATTCTTTTTTCGATACACCTTTGTAATACACAGAATTTCCACAGTCACTTTAAACTTAAGAACTTTTATAATACGCTATAAATCACAGTGATTCACACACTTTACTTACTGTGCCTACTGTTCGCTTGACTCAATTATCTATCACTTCAATATCTATCTGTCGCTGGCTTTATTTGCCGTGCTTATATACTAAACAAGAGGGTGCCTGGCAAACATTCGGATATTCGCGAGGTTCCTCGATAAGTCATGATCCTTCTAGAAACTCTAGCGCGCATGCTCCCAGCGTCGCGTGACTTCCGCTGTCGTAACAATGTATATAAACCGCACAGGAAATGTTATTTATGAAACGTCAATAATACCATATAATAAACATTGAATGTACAAGAAATTAAATACACATTAACAAAATTCACTGTATAATAATCTATATTTGAAATATACATAAGATTTTATTTAAAATTTTTAATAATCATAATGTTTTATTTTAAATTATTACTATATACTATTACGTATTATTACGTAATATTACTATTACTATTATTACGTATATACTATAACGCCTCCAGTGGCACAGCAATTTGTCTGCATACTTATAACGCTAGAAACTGGGTTTCAATACCCATGGTGGGCAGAGCGCAGAGAGCCCATTGTATAGCTTTGTGTTTAACTTCAAACAAACAAACTTAAAACATTGTTATTTTGTAAAAAAAACAATAATTGTATTATAAAGCATACGTTCAACAACACGTGCAAATGATGATAAAATAGATATCGGCCGATAATTTTCCACATTATCTTGACCACCACCCTTGTAAATGGGTACGATCCTAGTAGCATGAAGTATCTTGTGAAATTCTCCTGTACTACATACTTTATCTACAAGTACAGTTAAGAGTTCAGTTATTGGTTCACTAGCAGATTTCATCACCGAAGGTAGAACATCATCCCAACCAGATGAAGAAGAACTTGAAAGTCGTGGTTGTAGGTACAAGATAAATGGATTGAACTATTAATTTAACTTGACGTTAGTTGACACCCTGCATAGTAAAATAATCGTTAAAACTGTCGGCAATACTTTAAGGATCTGTAACAAGATCACCCGCCTTATTACAAATTCGTGAGATTTTGCCTTTACTTTTTCATCCCTACCTAGTTTTTTGTTGATAGTTCGCCATATGCCACGAGATTCCTCATTTTGAAAACATCTATCAAAATATTTGGCCTTATGGTCAGATACCAGATGCTGAACAAGCATTTTAAGTTCCAAGTATATATTTATGGTACAGAGATTACATGTTTGTTTAAAACGACGATAAAGTTTTTGTTTTATTTTTATTTTACATAATAATGTCATCGTCATCCAAGGTGGATATCTTGCATTATTTAATCTTACAACTTCAACAAATCGGAAAAAGATAAATTATAAAAGTTACGATAATGTTTTTCAAATGAGGAAAAAGTTGAATCGACATCAGATACTTCATTTACAATATGGTTTCAGTTAACAGAACTTAAATTAGAAATAAAATTCTTCAGAGTGTCAGCATTGATAAGTCTTTTTTTTGGAATGGCTATAAACTTAGGCGGATTAGACAAGGCAGTAAAAAATAAAGATAACACATAATGATCAGAAATATCACAACAGATTACATCCGGAATTATATTGCAACAATTTATAAAAAATATTATCGAGTGTTGATACTGTAATCCCAACAACTCTAGTAGGTTGGTAAATACAATAGTGGGCGTTAATTACAGACATTAAATTGTTTATTTCAAGCGCACGGCTTCTGTCAGTTGTAGTTTTGGTATACTGAAAAAATAAAATCACCCAAAAATATACAGAATTATTCAAATTACTATTATCAATGAGCGAAACCAATGTATCTATGAATTCACTCCATCTTCCGGAAGGTGGACGATAAATACAGTAATAAATATAAAATTAATCAATAGTAAAACTACATAATTCAATATAGTTTGTAATAATAACTGAATTAAAATAAAAATTTATATGTAAATTAATCCAGGGCGATTATATACAACAATTCCACCACCGTGCCCAGAGGGCCTACCAATGAAATCCACATTAAAATTCAGTAAAGGGGAGGAGGCTTTTCTAGGCAACACCATGACTCAAGAAACATCAATATATCAGGTTTCAAATCGCATTACAAAAATTGAGTTAAAATATCATCTATCTTATGAATAATACTCCTAACGTTTAAACATATTAGATTAACCTTGCTACTCATTATCTAGTACCCTGGTTTGGATTAAATCTGGGTTGAAAATATGTATCTAACTATTAATCCTTCTAGCTAAATGTCAGGAGAAAAAACTTTGCAGCCATTTCAATTGACCATTCTATTTCAATACAGAATGAGGTTGATCTTGTCATTCTTTTTGAAGTTAGCTGTTCACAAGTTTTTACACGGAAACCATTACTTTCAACAAAAGATTCGATATCTTTTGTTGTAGTACCTAATACACAACGGCCAAAAAATAATCTCTTTTTTTCCCACCGTAAACCGATTATAATATATCATCCTTATTGTCTTTATCCAATCCTCTTGTAATAATAGTATGTTTTTTGTTGTTGTTGTTTTCTCTTGTGTTGGACCAGGATGAAGTCACCCTCGGTGTCTTCTGGAAATTCATTGACTGATTTTAATAGGTTATCAAGTTGATACCACCATTACTAGAAGTTTTGGTATTAACTGTCTGATGCTTAGATTTAGCTGCAGCTGCACAAGTTTTAGAGCTGTTAGTTATCTTACAATGTATTTACATATTACTTGTATTTTCTGGCATTAAATCTATTGCAGTATTTCCTCGAAGATACAATAATTCTTGCCTACATTCCTGTATCTCCTTGCTCATTCTTCAAACCGAAATTTTCCTTTATTAAAATATCTAATTTCTTTTCCATTTTGCTGGCGAACTCTTCCACAAAGGCTAAGCAAGTACTGTCATAATCGACTAACAAACGCACGTTGGTAATCAAATCACTTAACTGATTCTCACGTTTTATTTCAGTCTCAGAATTTTCTTTCTCCATTTCATCAATGTTGCAAACGTCGTTTTTCGCCATATCAGAAAATGAAATACGACGGTTTGCTTTACATTTAAAACATTTCTATTGTTTGTTCAATTCACACAAAGTACTAAATGCTTCGTACGTTATATTAACACACTTAATATGATACTTTAACCGACATATGGTACCGGAAATAACGGTATTTTCAGCCTTGTAAGGTTTACCCGCTGCAACTTTCGAAGAGCAATTTCACACGCCTGTAGCCATCTGCACTATCAAAAGACCCGTTCATATAAGTAGCTAGAAATATGAAATGTTAGAAGGTTGAAAATGTTCATACATTAAAAATATTTCTCTCCATCACTGAACGATTTAATATTTGCTTTCATCTGTTTGGCATCCATTGTGACACTTATTAGCTTCCCTACGTCATTTAACATTCTAATGGTTTTAGAGTAACATCAAACAAGCTTTATTTGGGTCTATGTCTGAATCGTTATCACGTATTCTTGGAGTAGGCCTAGTCTCTGCAGCCACAGCCTTATGTTAGCATTGGTTACTAAGACATAATTAAATTTTTATCAGTATTACGGCATCATTATCAGTCACATGCATGAATATGGGAAATATACAGGTAAGTTTTCTTCTATACATTTGTAGTTGTTCCTTTATAAATTCAGAGAAGTTTTCTTACATTAATTTCATACATAAATTTTATTATATATATATATATACTTACGTATAGACTTTCTTACATAACTTTGATATTAGACAAGGGGTTGTTTGAAAGTGCTAGACCCCCATTTCAGCCGCAGATTTTATAGCATAGTATATAATAGCTACATATAGTTTTATTAATGGACCTAGGCTTTTTGCAGGCCTAGTTGGTTAGTGCAGCGCTTAACTGAAGACAGTTACAAATACGCCTAGGGATTTGAGGCAATAAAGGACAGACTGATTGCAAGTTTAAAACTAAAGTAAGGATCACACCAGGCTGTTGAATTAAATCTAGCTTGATATTGCTTCCACCTATAGCTTTATCCGTTACTAATTTATCAAGCAAATGAAGATATTGTTGGTTGTGAATATGAGAGTCGTCCCTTTTTTGTACTAACGTAATGCTTTGTGGTTCTGTAAAATTAAACACCCGTGTACAACGTCAAGAATTATGATTTGACATAATATTCCTTGTACCAGCTCCGGTTCTATCTTTCTATCTAATGATAGTCTAAGGAACAGCATTTGGAACCCTGATAATAGGCCTAAATCATTAATAGCAACCATGCTATGCAATAAAAACATCGCTAATAAAAGTAATTTCGTTATTTATTGACCTACTGAAAAGGCGATCTTAACATACTGGCTGATCTTTGATATATATATATATATATATATTAATTGGTTAATTCTCAACCTGAAATAATTACGAGAAAATAAATATCAAAACAACAATGATTCAAATTCATATCACAGATTGAGTTTGTTGAATTTTGCGCAAAGCTAACCATAATTCGGCACGCGACTCATTAGGCCACGCTCGGTCCTAGAGAATAGACCTACTTTATCACAAATTTCCGAAGTCTTTAATTTGATTATACGTTCTGATAGTGAGAGAAAAGGGTTAATGTACTAATATTTGTTCTTTTCTGTGATTGTTAGAGGTAGTTAGACAGATAAGTGTGACTGTAATTAAAATAGTGAATGCAGACAAGATGTGTAATAAAATGTTAATCACAGAAATCCGTTTGCGTGAACTCGAGAGACGTAGAAAACTTTTACTTAACAAGAGGGTGTGTGTGTGTGTTTTGTAATAGCAAAGCCACATCGGACTATCAGCTGTGTCCACCGAGGGGAATTGAAACCCTGACTTCAACGTTGTAAATCCGAAGACTTACCGTTGTCCCACCAGGGGACTACTTAACAACGACAAACTAAATATAAAAGCAGGAAAACATTAATCAAGTTCATGATACGGTCATTTTTCTTACTAGCAAGACTGCCATGAAACTGTTTCGTAGTTCGTATGAACGTGGTCTGTACGTTTCTTTAAAATGAGTTTAAAAACAAACTTATGCCAGATTGGAAGTTTATCTTGGATGAAAATACAAGCCACGTGTACCAAGTGCATCAAGGAATTTTTTTTTACTTGGTTTTCCAACAAAAAGTACACGTTACGTGTGGATAGGTTATACCAAACTTACCAATATCTGACTTTATTGCTAAATACACACACACACATGAATTATTGACGCTATTTTCAGTTACTCGTGGCGAGTGGTAGTCGAGGAAATGTTCATGTTGGTCTTAACATGGCGTCTCTTAAGACTTAATCCTATCAACCCATATTGAGCTATTTTAGCGCTGGAAATGTAAACTAAACTGGTAATGCAAAAGAAGTACTTTATTTTCGATATGATGCTCAGTCCCTATATAGCTATCATGAGCCAAAGAAAAAGAGAAAAAGACTGAATTTACATAAAATTAACAACTAACATATGGCGCACACATTTTGAGCAAATAAACTAAGAAAATATTCCTGGAGGCTTTTCTTCTTCTTGCTTTTATACACTTGGAAGGAATAATTTTAATAACTTGTGTAAATTTTCTGAAATAATTAATATTGAAAAGGACTTGAATCCGTGGCTGATTTGCCAGGCTAGTGTTTTGTAAATAAACAAACAAACAAAAAAACGATTGGCCTTGTTGCTGCAAGTTTCGGGTTTTATTACAGATTAATTTACATATTTATGTATATTGGCTATAAAACGTGCCAAGTAAGTAAGGGTAAAGGTTCGAGTCTCGCTCAGCTCCAGTTTTCACTGCATCAGAACATTTACACAGGACGGTGTACTCCTTCCTTTACAATTAATGTTTAGTTACTAATTTGATCGCATTACATTCCACCAAAAATAACATTGATATAATTCGGAGACTTAAAAACCGATTAGCATAGCTTGAGAATAAAATAAACGAACGTCGTGATTAGTGAGGCTCATGACATTCAAATATCATAAGTTCGTGGGTTTGACAGAATCCCATTAACTTTAATACCTTAAGAGTTCCAATTATTAAAAAAAAAATTTTTTTTTTCGGTTGAAAGATCTGTTATCAATCGATTTCAGCTTCCGCTTCATAAGACTTACAATAATTATAATAATTTCACGGGTTGGAGTATTTGCTCTCATTCAATCTTAACTTCCGCTTCATAAGACTTACAATAATTTAATAATTATAATAATTTCACGGGTTGGAGTATTTGCTCTCATTCAATCTTAACTTCCGTTTCCTGAGACTTACAATAATTCGATAATAATAATAATTTCACGGGTTGGAGTATTGGCTCTCATTCAATCTTAACTTCCGTTTCCTGAGACTTACAATAATTCGATAATAATAATAATTTCGTGGGTTGGAGTGTCTGCTCTCATTCGTTTGTAGTGAAGCACAATGCTACACAATGAGCTATCTGTGCTCTGCCCACCACGGGGGGCTTGCTCTCATTCCATCTTAACTTCCGTTTCTTAATATTTATAATAATTTGATAATGATAATTCGTCATTCTAAAAATTCATAGAAGCATCGTTAATGATTATAATGTCAACTTTTTAATCTACATTTGTAAATTGTCTTATTTTCACCATTATCATGAACCACTATAGTGGTTCATACTATGGATCACAAGGAATTACACAAAACCCTAATCAATCGTCCGGGCTAAAAAGCACCTTAAATAGTAAAAATTCACCCAAACAACACTTTAAAACTTTTACTATTGACTGCTAAGGCTGTACGCGCAGAAAAATGCAGAAAAAAGCGCGCACGTTAGACTTACAAGTAAAATAAAATCTGCTCAAAATGACCCGTATGTAATTCTTCTTCTTCTTATTATTATTATTATCTTGCCAGCTTATAAGAAAAACGACTTGGCATACTGCACCCAAACCTTTTGTAGAATAATAAATAATATACTGCGAAGGTCGTAGGGGTATTGAAAAGTCTGTTTGTTTCTTCTATATTTTACATAAGTTACAAAACATCGTAATTCTAGTGTAAACTATGTTATCATTGCCTCTGTAAGTTAGCTTTCTTACAAATATCTGGTGTTCCTTTAAAAAGCTTAAATACAGGGTGAAACAGGAATTACCAGCCAATAATAGATGAACATTAGATGACTGTAATACGTAGATACTCAATGTTTTGTACACTATACAATCGATGTCTTTAGGGAGTCAGCTCCCTATATTATGTATGAAGTGAAGGAGTAAAAAAAAAATCAACACACATAATATTAAATTATATTACACACTTTCGTAGAATAATCACTTTAATCTTTAAAAGACACAAGGGTTTGTTTAAAGCAATTGCAAAGGCTGCTTTTCTACTGGTAAAATAGTATACATGCTTAGTGGGAGTTGTGTCTTAGTCTAGGCATGTATTTGCCCATTGCTAAGTATTATATATACAGAATTTAGTTACACAGAAACTATAAACGCTCACTATATTCTCAAACAAATCTCCTTGATAATCTCCAGCTGCAACTTAACATTTTACATCTCGAACTGATGCGATCAAATAGTTAATAGCTACAGTAAATCATCACGTACCGTATTAGCTAGCTACTAGCTATGTTTATTATCATTACAGTGTATAAAGTTAGTTACAATATCAGGTAATCATTTGCCCATAGTTGACATTAAAAGCCAGCACACTTCACCAAATGTAATTCTAGGTAACAGCATGGAGCCAAAATAGGGGTTTGAGTAAATAATGTCTACAATATCTCCAGTCTTGTTTACTTACTTTTGTTACGATCCCAATTTGTTATTTATCTTGTCGTAAGTTATCATTCATTGTTCCTTACCTTGTTTCCAGAGTTGGGGTGATTGTGATGTAACTAACTTCATATTGTATTAGAAAGGAAATAAGGTCTTATAATTTAGAAAGTGTCACTAAAATCTACCCTAAAATACGAATTTCGTTCGTTGAATTTAGAAGATTCTGTTTAAAATTTATAAAATATGAATGTATTGTACCTTTAATGGATCAGGAAAAAT